ATGGTGTACTTATCAAGACTCCAAGGCTGAATCCCTGGGGAGAAACGAAAGAGAGCACTGAGAACCTTCAGGTCAGTGGGGGTAAGTCCGCTGGGACCTACAAGTTTAGCGTTCCTAAAGGCAGCCCTTGCGCCTGAACCAATGACTCCCACACCACTCATTTTACCCTTGCCCTTATCAGGTCTATCAGGCATGGGAGAAGAGGTGGATGGGGCCTCCTCGATTTTCACCTCTACCTCAGTAGAATCCACCTTAGGAAAGTTGTCAATCTCGTCACCTACCTCCCATAAATCAGAATCTCTTTCGGTAGACCTATCGCCTAAGAGGGAAACAAAGGAAGGAGTTGCTCTAAAGGAGGCAAACATGATTGGTAGAGAGAAAGACAGATTGAAAGAGTTATAAAAAGGAGGAAGACTAACTAAACACCCCCTGATAATCCTAGGGTCAGCACTGTACCTGCCAACAGTAAGAATTCACACAGTGGAGTTCCAATCCAAAAAGCGGGGAAGAGGAGATAGGCAATGATTGTGATTCCAAAAGAAAAAGAACTGAAAAATCCAGAAAAATAATGGCCATCTCGAAGTTGAGGGATCCAGAGTAAGGTAAGGCAAGAAAAAGAGAAAGGGGCAGAAGGAAGCGTACCTAGACGGGGAAGAGAGCAACAAACAGCAACCAAAGAACAAAATTTTAGGAGAAGAGCAAAACAAGACTTCGAGTCGAACCCAGAAAACACAGTTTTGAGCAGAGAATAAGAGAATCACGTGGAGGAAAGCCCAGAAATCGTAGAGAAATAGCCGGAGACAAAGGTAAACAGCGTAGAAGATGAACAAGGAGTTTTTGAGCGGTTTTTTGAGCAACCGATTGAGCATTTAAAGCTTTAGTGACGTGGGCTGAAACATGCGCGAGAATCGAGAAAGCCATGATTGTTGTAGACCGTCAAAGAGCCCCCTACGTGCATCTCACATGCGGACTAAGGTTAACTAGGGATGGGCCTAATCCAATGCGAAAACAGCTCAGCCCATGCCCAAGCTCACTTAGGCCAAGGGCTGGGGGGCAACTGATGATGTCAAAAGTAAATCCCAAGTTTTAGCTCAGGAGTTCAGCTCAGACCGTGAGGTCAGTCATACTAACTGAGGTCAGAAGGCAAAAGACTGAATGTTTTTAAGGCAAGATAACGGCTGGATAACCGCGTGAAGTTCCTAAAGTGTTAGGAAGCTATAATCAAGGTACCTAATCTCAACCAACCAAGATCTTCTCCTAGAATTAAAGAGAAGTCCACGAAATAAGTGCCAGAATCTCGGTCAAGATCCCACTGAATAGGGAACAGCCCTATAAATACTATGTAACGCCCCCAAAGAAGGCAGGATGNGCCTAATCTCAACCAACCAAGATCTTCTCCTAGAATTAAAGAGAAGTCCACGAAATAAGTGTCAGAATCTCGGTCAAGATCCCACTGAATAGGGAACAGTCCTATAAATACTATGTAACGCCCCCAAAGAAGGCAGGATGGAAAAAAGGCAAAAACTAGCAATTGTATTCTTTGAATCATCATTATTGAAAGGCAAGGAGCAAGAATCTCCATTGAAAAGTGGATTAGTCGAGCTCCCGAGCTGATAAACCACTATACTTCTTATGTGTTAATCCTCCCGGCCCCTAGAAAAACATTTCTTTCATTATCACATCACCATCACAGCAAAGCATAATTACAATTCATTACTCATACAATTCGGTTTACACCATCACGATTCATTACTCATACAATTCGGTTTACACCATCATTATCTATATAAAACTTGTGATTTCCATCAAATTACAAGTATTTGAGACTCATGTATACTAGACTGGAAATCCTGATTCATCACACCTCCACACAAATCTAATGTGTCCAAGGCCATGTGCTTGCTAATCCGATAGAGGATTGAAGACTTGGAAAGGATTGGATAACTGGAATTTTTGTGTTATTATCTCTCTTCTATTAGTTTCTTCTTATTGTTTATACTATGCATAGAAACATAATTGTATACAGACTCCAATTTGTATTGAAGAGACTCTTATAGGCTTGTTTTGTCTTATTGAGAAAAAAAAATTCCCCAAACAAACGTAAAACCCACATAACACATTCATTTTTGTCAAATGAATATACAATTTTCACATACCCCAGAGCATAGCTTGTTTTGAAAATCTACAGAGTGAATTTTGCAGCATACTGTCACAGCCTTGAAAGTTGCAACCCGAAGTAAAAGTGTAATGTCTATCCAGAGTAATTAATAAAAAGATGAGAGTCATCTGACTTCTAAGTTCTAGCAATTATCTTTCCATCGTAAATTCAAATTACATTAAAAATATAATCCTTCAACTCAGTTATGAGTGACCCATTTTTTTTTTTTTCATGAGTGACCATTCAATTTTTGCCACACTTGAGAGGACGTAATAGATTAATCATCTACGTGACACCACTCTCTAATAAATTAAGTTTTTAGACTATATGATATTCAAAATGGTATCAGAGTTTGCCTTCCTTTCACAAGTTGTTATGAGGAGAGCCGTGCATGACCTCTTAACCCTATATGACACCTCAAACCTAACCAATGTGAAACATTACAATAGGCATGCTTGTAAACTGAAAGAGCAATGTTATTTGCATCTAAAAATTTGATTTTATTTACCGACTTAATTCACTATAGTCTTTAGATTGATTGTTGTTAATTAGACCTTGACAAACTACAAAAATTAATCTATATTTTAATGCCAACGAGTGCTTGATGCTTCAATTTTTATTTTTTTTCCTTTGTGTGTTCATAAAAAAATGAATGCTTGAGACTTTGGGTCATATTTACCAGCAAAGGAAGCGAATTTTCAATACTAGATTATTTGTCTCTTCTATTAATTTTTATCTAAAAAAGACAATAGATTCCCGTCCTAACCATAAAAAAGACCAGTGTGTGCTTGTTGCCATCACCACTATAGATAGAGATCCTAAGTCCACAGCTTTTGGTTTGACATTCAAAAAGAGGTAGTGGCAAACCATGCAATGGTGGTGACCACTGGACCAGAATTATTGAAAAGTATCTCAGGTATATCTTTTTTTTTTTTTTTTTTTTGCTCTTTGGTATCTTCAAAGCACGAATCTGATGGACCCTTCAGTCCCAAAACGACAATCTTGCTGATGTTCTCCATTTTTCCAATGTCAAACCCTTCATCCACCAATCGATCTCTTATCTCTATTTCTGTAACTGTGTTTTTTTTTTTGATGTGGGAAAGGAAATTATGGTAGAGATTGTTACAATGTGATCTGAGCACAGTGACGAGAAGCAAAGAGATAAATGCTAAGATTTGGGCACATGTACAGCTTGGATCGAACAAAAGGGATAAAGAGACCGAACTTGTTAATTTGTGTATAAATATCAGTTCATAATTTTAGTTTAGGCCTCTTGATTCACAAAAAAAGCCAATCTTAATGGTTTTAGTTGATCCGATGATTCCTAAAAATATCAAACGAATTGAGAAAAAGAGAGACAAGTCTCCTCAGTAATATTATTGATCAAAAATTATTTTGCCCTAAGGCCTACATGTATTTATATAATAGTAGAAACCCTAAATTACGTAGGAAAGTAAAATCCTCGTTAAATTAAGAAACAAATTCTAATTGATATAAAAAAAATTAAATTAAATAACTTCCTAATTAAATTATAAAATAAATAAAAATCTCCTAGAAATTATCTAATTCAGTTAAATTAAAAAATAATCGGCCCGCTCGAACCACATTTAGCACATTTGCCCGAAATCTCCAATTTTATTCTACATCATAAACCAATGTTTACTCTTTCCCATTTGGTATGAGATTGCATATTTTTTTCTCCCACAAGGTCATAACGGTATGAAAAAGGAAATAAATAGGGTTAATGTACAAAATTCGAAACACTATTCTGAGATTAATTTTATATTTTTGAGTTAGTTTAAATTCAATTTATATATGAGCCCAAATTCTAACCATAAAACCTACTATTACCTTGGTTGAAAACCTTATCCGCTGCCACAATTGCTTTTGCCGAAAGTATAGAAGAATTAAATCTCATACAGTGAACGATTTAAACTTTTTAAGCTCTTCTCACATGCATTTTCTGACCATTTGTCAAGTCAGTCTACCCTTTGCTTTAGCCTTTATCTTATGAAAAAAGAACAATTGAGGAATTGTGTATTGTATATGAAAGCTTCCAAAATTAGTCATTTCATTGGTGCATATATACATTAGTTTAGCTTATTTACAAAGCTACTGTAAATTCTATAGTTCACATACATTGTGCCAAATGAACAACAAAAAGTGAGGGTCTTCGTGTGGATACGGGGTTAATGATCCAGGTGCTTATCAAGCTGATAACTTTAAGCATATCTTTCTCATTCGGGAGATGAATAGTTGGAACTTGGAAACCACAACTTTACTGCAGAAGCCTCTCGAGAAGCAAAAGGAAAATGTGGGGGTTTGTGCACTTGGTTGCAACAGAAATATTCGAGTTCGAATGTGGGCCCCTAGAGTTTGGATTACCAGGAATGTTCTATGTGAGGATTTAGGATGATGACAACAATATTACCACAATTGAAGAGATAAAAGTTGAGTGCAAAATTAAGTGATCAGGGGGTATCATTGCACATTAATATTAATCTTTTCAAAACTCATGTAATACGAAGGCCTTAAGGAATCATTTCTCATAGTCAAGTTGGAAGAAATTAGTTCACTCCAACCAGTATAAATACCACTATATGCCTTGCCTTCTTTCTCAAGTCCTCTTAGTTAGTCTACCTCTGAAATCATCTGTGAGTTCAATCTTGTTTCTTTTGACAACAGAATGGAGTCTTCAGATACACTAAGGTAGTACCCCTCTCTCTCTCTCTCATGCATGAATGATATAAGTAGGGATGAAATGATACATGAATTTTTAGTCACACTAATGTTTTCTATGGTCAGGAACAAATGTGCTGCGTGTTACAAACAGTATAACAAAATGGAGCATCTAGTGGAGCACATGAGGATCTCATATCACTCAGTTCACGAGCCCATGTGTGGAATCTGCAGAAAACATTGCCGATCGTTTGAATCTCTGAGGGAGCATCTGATAGGTAAATTTCAATACCCTAATGAGAACGATGGCCTTTTTTCTTTTTCTGGCTCTCAGACACTCTTAACATTTTTCTGTTACTATCTCCAGGTCCTTTGCCAAAGGCAGAATGTGAGAGGATATTCAAAGACAAAGGATGCGATCTCTGCTTGGCCATCCTTAGTAGCAGCAATGCTCTAAGGGTTCACCGAGAGACATGCCAACTCTCACGCACTGTACAGTTCCTAAACAACTTCTAATAAGGGAAATCACATTAGTAACTCCTGTGGTTTCTAATGATTTTCAAGAAACACCCTTATAATTTCAAGTTTTACACCAACACTCCTCTTTTTTTTTTTTTTTTGGTGTGTATTTATGAGGGTGCATTTAGAATCATTGCCTTCATTTGACGTTCTAGAAAAAGGCCCATTCTACTACTTTGAAAGAACAAGAAGAAATTAAAAAAAAATGGATATGATATAAAGAGAAAAAAGAAAAGCTTTTTTTATTTATTATTGGAATTGTAACAAATAGTTCGATGGAAAAAATAAAACTCCCCACCCTCAAAATGAGAAAACATACCAAAAGAAAGTTAAAACTTTGTATCCTGTCTTTATTCTTTTTTCAAACAAAAAAAAAAGTGTTAGTTGTAGAATTCATTAAAAAGAAGAATTTTTATTTTACATATCATAGGAGAAAAGAAAGGTCCATAAATTTTTGTTCATATAATTTAATTAATCATTTTTTTTGAATTAATTGTGTTCCACTTGGTTAGGATCAACGGCCAATCGAAGAACAACAGGGAATTACGTTACCAAATTAGGCCAACAAATAATATGAGTGCACTAGAATAGAATAAAATTATTTAAGCGAGAGATAAGGCGAGATTTCAATGAGTTTCACACACCACATGGCACACCCAATGAGATACTGTCACAAATGTAATTTATGAGCTATACATGACACTGTCATATAGTGTGTTAAAATTTTCTCTATAGAAGGTATATGTACAAGATTGCTGATATGGATGTTGGAGTTGAGGTAGTCCAAGTAATTAATGTACAATGGGAATAATTTATAAGAATAATTGGGAAAAAATAACACCCGTTTCCATCAATCCTATCGGGGGCAAACCTTGACAGTGGGTGTTGGTGTATTATCAAAACCATATGACTAGTATTGGAGTTATGAGAGACAATGGAGAATGTTACTGTACTTTACATTTCTGTTATATCGAGCTTAGCTTAACCTAATGTGATTTTTCTTCAATTTGCAGGGAGCTCTTTATCGCATGGCCAACTTAGGAATTCAAGATGACTTGAGGATTGATAATAATAGGGCAAAAGTAGTTGCACTTGCTTGCAAAATGGTTGGCGGTGGCAGTGATGGCTCCCTTGATCTTTGTGCAAGGGTTTGCCTCACCGATGAATATGAAAACATGATCTTCCATACATATGTCAAACCTCCCCTTTCAGTCACCAATTACAGGTACTCATACATTGATATAAAGATTTAAGTCAGTCTGTATGAGTTAGTTTAATGGTCCAAATGAGGAGTAAACACGTCATAAATCGAATTTTCCAAGTTTTACATATCTGAGTTTAATCTATGCATGTGGTTTGTTGATGATTGTGTGCATCCGAGTTTTATTCTATAACTATGAGTCCTAAAGAATCATAGTTGTAACGATTTCTCCTAATTAATTGTCATACTTTATTGCATTTATCTTGAATATTTTACTCAGGTACGATATGACTGGAATACGCCCAGAATTCTTAAGGGATGCAATGCCATTAAGACAAGTCCAGAGGAAGATTCAAGATTTTTTATGCAACGGGGAAACTGTATGGAAGATACGCTCTAGAGGTGGAACAGCAAGGATCCTTGTAGGTCATGGTCTGGATCATGACCTTAAATGCCTAGAAATGGAGTACCCTACCGTAATGATCAGGCAAGTTTCTGTGTGAGCGAAGCTTTCCATTTATCAACAACCCAACTTCATTAGGACTTCGACCTTAAAACTTAAAAGTTCATTAAATTTTCAAGTTCATATCCAATGAATTTGGCTGCAGGGACACAGCAAAATATCCTCCATTAATGAAAACAAGCAAGCTCAGCAACTCCCTCAAGTACCTGACAAAA